CATAACAACTACAGTTCCTTGAAGTTGATATGACAAGCAAACAGAAAGGACATTGTTGGGTGGGAGGGAGGAGAAGGAGGAGGGAGGGAGGTTTTGGTAATGGGCCACAATAATCAACCACATTGTATATCGACAAAATAAAATTAAAAAAAAAAAAAAAAAAAGAATCCACAGTTCCTTAGAAGTATCTTCCACACTGCCCAGGAGAGAATGATAAGCCACAAGACACATAGACAGGAAAATACGACCCACAGTCAGCAGAGCCATGGCAACGCACACACACACATACATAAATAGAGGGCCACACAGGTGGAGAGAGAGTCCTCGCTGCTGCAGGCAGCCACCAACTCCAGCAGAGGAAGCAGGAACAAGGAGATCAGCAGAGGTCACTGAAGCCCTCGAGCAAAAGTTAAGTGATGTCCTGATGGGTCCCAGCACCTCCTCAAAAATTACTTTTTAATCGCAAAGGAAAAATTTTAATAATCACTGGAAAAACATAGCAAATGCCACCTTAAACAATCCAAGTAGACATGACCAGTTTTGGCACCTGCTTAGGAAGAAAACAACTCACTTCTGCGCTGCTCTAGGCAAACGTGCACAGCCTCAGTCTAACCATGGGGAAGCCCAAACTGGCAGGCAGCCTACAAAATAACTACAAAACAACTTATCACACACATCAAGGGCAGAAAAGACAAAGAAAGGCTAAGCAACAGCTCCGGGCTGAGGGAGACCAAAGAGACGTAGCATTTCAATGTGATGTGTGGTGCCAACCTGGATCCTGGACTGAGGAAAAAACACTCAGTTGTCAGGGATGCTATTGGGACAACTGGTGGCCCCTGAGCATGGACTGCAGGTCAGATCAAGTGCTGGTTTGATAACTGTAGTCCTTGTTCTGGGAAATATACATGCAAGCATTTATGGATACAGGGCTGCACTTCTTCACCTGACTCAGATGAGTAAACACCGCACATGTATGCACAGGACAGGAGGTACATGGGGAGAGAGGGTGATGAGGCAAATGTCCTGAAATTTACCCAACTGGTAAACTCAGTGAGGGCACTTAGGCATTCCTTGAGAAATTACTGCAACTGTTCTGTAAATGTGATAGCATATCAAAATTAAGGTCACAAAAGCATCTAACAGTTTTGAATCTGGAAGTTCCATTCTCCCCTTCTGAATATCACCCGGCCCACAACTGGCAGTCATCTCAGGCCCTCTTACCGCTGAGAAGGTGTGCCTCCCGAGTGAATGCTCTCAGGCTCTGTCGTTGCTGCCGAGGCCAAGGACAGGCTGGAGCCAGACTGAGTCTGGCTCAAGTTATCAGCTGCCAGAGACAAGAAACAGATGGTCCATGAAAAATTCCAGCAGACACGTATGTGTTCCCTAACCACATGGATGCCCTGCCCTAGGATGCAAGAGAGAGGAGCAGGCAGCAGCCCAGCCTCCTGGCCATCGGATATCTGCAGCTGCATCACCCCGTCATCCCCCGGCCCAGGGAAGCCTCTCTGCATCCGGAAGCATCCCAGCATCCCAGAGCCTGAGCAGTGGTCTCAACTTTCTCATCTCTCAGATGGGGACAATCATCCCCACCCTTCCCACCTCACACAGCTCTTGAGAACACCCAAAAGTGACGAAGGATGGGAGCCCGCCCTCTAAAGCGACAAGAACTTTGCACGTGTGAGGGACGACACATGAGGAGCCACGTGGTGAGGCTGCTTACGGGTGGAGGAGCACTTGGTTGCTGAGTCGCCACACGACTCTTCTCGGTGGACTGACTTTGGCCGTGGCTTCTTGGGCTTGGATTTAGGCTTGCCGAGGCCTTGCTCTTCTAACATCTGCTGCTGCTTCCTTCTCAAGTACTCCTGCTTGATGAGCTCTCGCCGTGCCTTCTCCTCCTCTTTCCGTACCCGATCTTCTTCAGCTTTGCGCCGGGCTTCATCCCGCTTGAGCTCAACTTCGGCCTCCAGCTGCTGCTTCCGCATGCGCGCCTCCTCGGCCTTGCGCTGCTGCTTCAGGAGGAAGGCCGCCCGCTTCTTGGCGAGTTCATCTTCTGCTTTCTGTTCATCCTGCAACACAGACACCCCATGTGCCATCACGCGAAACACCCTGCACAAGCCAATAGGACTTGTTTCCCCGAGCAGCAGAGTTTAATATTCGCTTAGAAAATTTTCATGCACAGACCAAAGATATTTTTAGTCTTTTTTAAACTGATGAACAGACATTTCTTTGTAGACTCTAAAGTACAAATGCAAAAAAAAATGCCACTCAGAAGACATTCATTGTCGGCCAAACTTCCAATTGTCTCACACAGANCTGTCTAGCACTAGCTCTGGGTGAATTAATGGGGGAGATTGATGAGACATGCAAGTGACTGCCAGTATTTTTAATATGACAAGAAGGCATATGGGTAAGGACACAGTGGATATTCCTGTACTCATTTAGATAGGAAAGAAAAGAAGCCAATACAAAATCTACTCCAAAAATTCTGGGTCTGCATACTATTAAGTAACATTTTAAATCAAGAAAAAACTACTATAGTCATAAATTTCAGTCATTTGTCATATTTGGGAGAAGAA